AGCATGCGTAGGATTAGTCTCCCATATCTGTTTTTCTTTTACATTGTAGATGTGGATCCATTTGATCCACATTCTGTCTTTCTTTTTGCATAAGTTCCAGAAATGTTTACAAATGACAGCATTATTCCAAGCGTAGATATCAATGACATTGAGTCCACCAGCTACTCTTGGACAGCATACTTTATCCCACGACAATGGAGCTTTCTTAGATATATCATTTCCTCCCGTCCATAGGTAGCTTCTGCATATAGCCTCCACCTTATGAAAGGGCAGCCCATTGCACTAAGCTCCCGCTATGCGCGGGGTCCGGGGAAGGGCCGGACCACAAGGGTCTATTGTATGCAGCCTTACCCTGTATTTCTGCAAGAGGCTGGACCACTAAGCTCCACTTTATGAATGATCTTTTTTGGTAAGACAAAGATATGGCACCAGAATGTTTGCATAGATAACAAGATGCCTTTAATCAGTTGTAGTCTAGCTGGAAAAGACAAGAATTTAGTAGTCCATGAGGTAACTCTTCCCACTATTCTATCGAGCAATGACTGACATTATGATACAGATAACCTCTTTATACAAAGTGGTACTCCTAGATATCTCACTGGCAAGTGCCTTTAGAGAATCCCATCACAGTCAGAATATCGAATTGATCCTTTTCCGGTATACCTCCAAAGAAAACTGAGCTTTTGCTTTTATTAATTGTGAGCCCTGAACTCTGAGAAAACTAGAGGAAACAATCGTACAATAGTTTCACTGATCCTATGTCACCCCTGCAGAATAGAAGCAGGTCATCAGCAAACCAAACTGCACTATCTTCATTTTGTCACATTTGGGGTGGAAATTGAAATCTGGTATCAGCCTTAGTGACTTCAAGTTTCGTGTCAGGTAATCCATAGCTAAAACAAAAAGGAATGGAGATAAGGGATCCCCTTGCCTTAGACCTATTTTTGCATCAAAAGGTGTTGTTGGCTAGCCATTCAGCAAAATAGAGTAAGAGACACTCTGCACACAATTCATGATCCATTTAATGAAAGTATCAGGAAAATCCAAGTCTATCAAAACCTGCTCCAGGTAGACCCATTCGAGTGAATCATATGCTTTCTGCATATCCAACTTCATCATGCACCTTGGTGATAGCCCTTTTCTGCCATAGCCTTTAACTAACTCGTGGCTGAGTATTATGTTATTAGTTATCAGTCTACCTGGTACAAACATCGATTGACAGTTATCTAGCAATACCTCCATAACCTCATGTAGCCTCTTTGTTAGGACTTTAGAGATGATTTTATACAGAAAGGTACAATATGAGATAGGTCTGTATTTCCTAACTGATTCTGGATTCTTAACTTTAGGAATAAGTGTTACTGAAGTGCAATCAATAGCTTTAAACATCTCAGTAGTTGCAAAGAAGTGTAGAATTGTTAACAGAGCTCTCACAAAAGGTGCCTCAAATATTGAGCAAGCAGAAGCAATATCAAGACATAGTACATATAGTTGTCTAGTTGTATAAAATATAGTTGGTTATGGGTCTTTGTCCTTTTTTTTGTTTTTGTACAGAATTGGTTATGGCCTTATGGGTCTTTGTCTCTTTGTCTTTCCCCTTTGTTTGTATAAGTAGAGGTACGTATACCATGTACAAAGACACACGTTCGGAAAAAAAGGTGAAAAGATTCCTTTTGCTTTCATGGTATCAGGAGCAGGGGCTCTAATTTAGAGATCTTATTTCTCTATCCTTTGTTGTTGTTTTTTTTTTCCTTTTTTTTTCTCCTTCATCTTTCTGTTCTATCATTTCCTTGTTATGGTTGTTGCTTCAGAATCCTTGAGAAGTCACACCCGGGACTATCCTTGATGCTGCTGTTGGGAATACCACAGTAGTAGCTTCAAATTTGGTGGATGGAACTCATCCATATTTTCTCAACTCTTCTGATTCTCCTGGAATGAACCTTATTAATGTCAGTTTTGATGGAACCAGTTATGGAAATTGGAGAAGGGGGGTATTAATCTCTCTTTCTGCTAAAAACAAACAAGGATTCATCAATGGTTCATGTCAAAAACCAGTTGAGAACTCACTTCTGTTTGCACAATGGAGGAGATGCAATGACATGGTCATTGTTTGGCTGTTAAACTCCTTAAGCAAGGATGTAGCAGAAAGTGTCATTTACTCTCAAACAGCTGGAGAACTTTGGGCTGAGCTAGAACAAAGATATGGCCAAGCTGATGGTGCAAAATTATTCCAGCTACAAAGAGAACTTAACAACATTTTGCAAGGAATAAATGATGTTGCAGCATACTTTACCAGGCTCAAAAGAATCTGGGATCAAATGAAAGTTCTTAATACCTTCATGGCTTGTGGGTGTGAGTGCAACTGTGGAGCAAAAACTCACAATCACAAAATGAATAAAGATCAAAAGCTAATCTAGTTCTTGATGGGGCTCAATGAGGGATAAGTAAAGGGAAACATCCTCATGATGAAGCTCTTCCTTCCACAGCACAAGCTTATTCAATCATTTTACATGAAGAGTCTCAAAGGGAGGTACGCTCTGATCACCATGTGTCGGTTGAGCCCAGTGCTTTCAATGTTAATGCACAAAAAACTAATAGTGAGTACAGGGGTAGAAATTATAACAGTAACACTGAAGCAAGGAAAACAACTTCTGCTCTTACTGTAAGAAGTAGGGACACCAGAAAGAGAAATATTATAAACTGGTTGGGTACCCACCGTCTTTCAAGTTCACTAAGCCAAAGAGAAACTTTGGAAATATTCAGGCTAATGCAGCAGTGATTGAGGAAGGTGAAACATCAGGAGGAGGAGCAGTTATCACTCGAGGTGTTGCACCTAGCCTAATGAATCCACGGGGGTTCACAAAAGAACAGTGTGAGCAGTTGATTCAGATGATACAATCTGTGCAAGCTGGAAACATAGGTACTTCAGGTTCTGATGCTAATGTAAGTGCCAACTATGTGGGTAAATGTACTGCTTTTCACGCCTTTATTTCTTGTTTTACAACTATCACATCCAAGTTTTGGATAATTGATTCAGGAGCCTCACAACATATGACTCATGATAAAACACTTCTAAACAATTTCAAACAACTCCCTTTCCCTATTCAAGTTACACTACCAAATTCTTATAAAGTCAAAGTGTACAGTTTAGAAAGTGTATTAATTTCACCTGAACTTGAGTTGCATAATGTTCTTTATATTCCTTCTTTCAACCATAATCTTTTGTCTGTTAACCAATTGTGTCAAATTCTTATAAAGTCAAAGTGTACAGTTTAGGAAGTGTATTAATTTCACCTGAACTTGAGTTGCATAATGTTCTTTATATTCCTTCTTTCAACCATAATCTTTTGTCTGTTAACCAATTGTGTCAAATTCTTATAAAGTCAAAGTGTACAGTTTAGGAAGTGTATTAATTTCACCTGAACTTGAGTTGCATAATGTTCTTTATATTCCTTCTTTCAACCATAATCTTTTGTCTGTTAACCAATTGTGTCAAATTCTTATAAAGTCAAAGTGTACAGTTTAGGAAGTGTATTAATTTCACCTGAACTTGAGTTGCATAATGTTCTTTATATTCCTTCTTTCAACCATAATCTTTTGTCTGTTAACCAATTGTGTAAGCAGCTAAATTCTAATATTTTGTTTACTAAATCTGAATGTCTTGTACAAGCCCCTTTTCTGAAGAGGCAAATGGTACTTGGTGAAGCTTTTGCTGGTCTCTATGTGTTGAGAGTTGATTCAACTAAGTCTAGAGTGTCCAATGAGCCTTTCTTTCTTTTCCCTAAAAATCATGTGAAGACTTGTAGTGCAGCCAACTTGGAGTCTTTTGTTCAATCGTGTAGTTATGTCCCAGAGTCTATTCAAATATCTGTAAGAGGAATTTTTCCATCTAATGAAAGTTTGAAAATGAATAAAACTGCAGTTTCTGATTCTATGAATTCCAACAGACTTTGGCATTTAAGATTGGGGCACTTACCTTATCATGCAATGAAAAATATAAAGAATATATCTCTTTCATCAAAAAATAAACAGGTTTTTCCTTGTGACATATGCCCAATGGCAAGACAGTCTAAATTGCCTTTTCCAACAAGCTCTATTAGCTCTAAACAGTGCTTTGAATTACTACACATAGATACTTGGGGTCCTTATAATGTTCCCACTTACAAGGGAGAAAGATATTTTCTTACTATTGCGGATAATTTTTCAAGGGCAACTTGGGCCTATCTTTTATCTACAAAGTCTAATGCTTTCCCTACCCTTAAATCCTTTTTAGCTCTTATAGAAACACAATTCTCAGCCAAGGTTAAGATCATAAGATCAGATAATGCATATGAGTTAGGGACAGGAATAACTCCTTCAGATTTCTTTACTTCCAAAGGGATAGTTCATCACACATCATGCATTGGAACCCCACAACAAAATGGGGTAGTTGAAAGAAAACACAAACACTTATTAGAGACATGTAAAGCTTTATTATTCCAGTCTCATTTACCAAAGAAATATTGGGGTGATTGTTTGCTAACATCAACTTACTTGATTAATAGATTCCCTTCAAGAGTTCTAAATAATAGATCACCCTATCAAGTTTTGTTTGGCAAATTGTCAGATTACTCTCATTTGAAGCCTTTCGGTTGTTTATGCTTTGTCTCTACTCTTTCTAGAAATAGAGATAAACTACACCCTAGAGCAATCCCTAGAGTCTTCTTAGGTTACCCTTTTGGAAATAAAGGATATAGAATTTTGAACATTCAATCGAATCACGTATTTATTTCTAGGGATATCAAATTCTTTGAGTCTATATTCCCTTTTTCTTATTCCACTCCTATGTCAAAATTGTTTCCAGCCAGTTTTCCTGTCTCTGATGAGGGAATACATATTTTTTCTTCACAACAGGAATCTAATTCACCTAATGTAACTACACCAGGTGTTATTTCTTTATCATCTTCCAGTCCTAGAGGCAAAGATTGCCCCATTGTTACTCTGTCTACATCTAGAGTTGAATCAGCTCCAGCAGATGGGCTACGTAGATCTTCTAGAGAGCATAATGCACCTAAATATTTATCAGACTACATATGCGATGCTGCTTATTCAGTAATTTCATCAAACCCACCTTTTACCCCGTTTCACTCTTACTCTTTTTCTGCACTTTCTCAACCAAATTAATAGTTTGTTAACTCTATATGCCAAATTTCTGAGCCAAATTCTTACCAAGAAGTAGCCATTCATCCCGGTTGGCAAGCAGCTATGGCAAAAGAACTTGAGGCATTAGAATCCAATTGCACTTGGGAAGTAGTTCAAATCCCTTTTGCAAGGAAAGCATTGCCCTGCAAATGGGTGTACAAAGTTAAACTCAAATCTGAAGGAAGTTTGGAAAGACTCAAAGCAAGGCTAGTAGTACGAGGAGATACACAACGAGAGGGAGTAGACTACACAGAGACATTTTCACCGGTGGTGAAAATGACAACTATCAGATGTTTGTTAATTGTTGCAGTGAAGAAGGGATGGAACATATACCAGTTAGATGTTAATAACGCCTTCTTACATGGCGACTTGCACGAGGAAGTGTTTATGAAGTTTCCACCAGGAATTGCACCTCCAAGCTCTTCCCATGTCTGTCGTCTTCGCAAGTCCCTCTATGGTTTGAAACAGGCATCGCGCCAATGGTATGCTCGACTATCCTCTGCTTTACGATCCAGAGGTTTCACCTCCTCGGTCAATGACTACTCCTTGTTCTTCAAAATATCTGGGACTCTAACGACTATATTAGCCGTATATGTTGATGACATTCTCCTAACAGGAAACAATCAAGAAGAAATCAGTGAGATAAAATCATTCCTTGGTTCTGAATTTTGAATTAAGGACCTAGGAGAAGCAAGTTATTTTCTAGGTATGGAACTTTTACGAGCCTGGAGATATCATTTTGACTCAGAGGAAATTTGCAATTGACCTCATTTCTAAGTTTGATTTTCTACAATCGAGAGATGTTTGCACTCCGCTTGATTCACACATTAAGCTTACTGCTGATTCTGGTGAGCTTTTGCCTGATCCTACCATTTATCGGAAGCTCTTGGGGAAGCTAAATTCCTCACAAATACCCGACCAGATCTATCCTTTGCTATACATACCTTGAGTCAATACATGCAATCTCCAAGATCTGGACACTATCAGGCAGCTTTACATACTCTTTGATATGTTCGAAATGATCCAAGTTTGGGACTTTTCTTCTCATCCGAGCCTTCATTTCAGATTTTGGGTTATTGTGACGCAGATTAGGCATCTTGCTCGGATACTCGAAGATCAATTAGTGGTTTCTTATTGAGCATAAGTGGATGCCCCGTCTCCCGGAAATCGAAGAAACAACAAGTGATTTCTTTGTCTTCGGCAGAAGCTGAATATCGATATATCCGACGTTTGGTAGCAGAACTTTCATGGATTGTTCGTCTTCTTGCTGACATATCCATTTCCCCTTCGCTTCCAGTCTCTGTCCATTGTGACAATCAAGCTGTGATTCACATAGCGAAAAACCTAGTTTTTCACGAACGAACAAAGCACATCGAAATTGATTGTCACTTCGTCCGCGAAAAACTGCTCGATGGTCTAATTTCTTTGTCTTTTTGTTCCAACTACAACCCAAATCGCCGGTATCTTCACAAAAGGATTGGCAGGACCTCTTCATCGGAGTTTTTTTGGGCAAGTTGGGAGTCCGATCTACGGGCTCCCACTTGAAGGGGGTGTTAACAGAGCTCTCACAAAAGGTGCCTCAAATATTGAGCAAGCAGAAGCAATATCAAGACATAGTACATATAGTTGTCTAGTTGTATAAAATATAGTTGGTTATGGGTCTTTGTCCTTTCTTTTTTTTTTTTTGTACAGAATTGGTTATGGCCTTATGGGTCTTTGTCTCTTTATCTTTCCCCTTTGTTTGTATAAGTAGAGGTACATATACCATGTACAAAGACACACGTTCGGAAAAAAAGGTGAAAAGATTCCTTTTGCTTTCAAGAATAGCGTCAGTAACTTCTTCTCCTATAATGGGCCATGCTTTCTTAAAAAATACATCATTCAGTCCATCACACCCTGGTGCTTTCATATCATCTATATCTTTTAGTGCCTGGTATATCTCCTCTTTTGTGACTGGTCTGATCAATCTTGTTGTTCCCTGTTCAGGGTTGGTCCATCCTTGATCACATTAGGATTAATTGCAGGTGGAGTACTTGTTGTTGTTCCAAGCAGTCCCCTGTAGAAACCAATAACTTCTTCAATTTCAACATCAGACTGTATGATGTCCCCTCGATCAGTTTTAAGCCTTCTGATATGGTTCTGGGAGCATCTACTATTTTTCATGGTTGCGAAGACATAAATAGAGTTTGAGTCACCCTCTTTAAGCCATTGTACCCTGGATTTTTGTTTGTAGATGCTCTCTTTAATCCCACCCCATTTTTCCAGTTGGTTTCTTAGGTCTCTTTCTTCTTCAATCAGAGAACTATTCTGATATTCTGTATCCATTTTCTTCTGCACCTCATGCAATTGTTGTCTGATCTGCTTCAGCTTCTTTTCTACTCTTATAGATTGCTCAGAGTTAAGCTTCTTCAAATCTTGCTTAATCTATTTCAGCTTGCTCCACACCTTCCTCATGTAGTTACCTGCTATTTGCTTCTCCCAGTTGTTCTCTATCAGTGTCAAGAACTGTTGGTGTTCAGCCATACAGTTAAAGAACCTAAAAGGCTTTCCCTTGCATCTTGTTGGCCATATCAAAACTGATTCCAAGTGGGGAATGATCCGAGAACATTGGCTCTATTATTTGCACTGTTACTGTTGACATTGTATTCATCCAAGTTGCATTAGCAACGGCTCTGTCAATTCTACTGTAAGTGTGGTTATTTGTCCATGTGTACTTCCTACCAAAGGTCCTTACCTCAGTCAGTCCTGTATTCAGCAGGAATTCTCTATAGTCCCTTGTTTCATAGTCTTGTATTGGTGTTCCATGTTGTCTGTCTTCTTGATTCAAGATTGTATTGAAATCCCCCCATAGCTAACCATGGTCCCTGTTGCACATTCACCAATCCCTGCAATTTCCCCCATAGTTTCCTGCTTTCTTGTATTGTATGAAGTCCATAGATCGCAGTGAAGTCGAATACCAGCTTCATCTCATGCATCCTAACTTGATCATAGATAAATTGTGCATCATTGTCAATCATACTAAAGTCACATAATCTAGGATTCCATAGTATCCATATTATTCTTTAGACACCCAACTCCATCCTGGTGCTATTTTTTGGATAATTTTTGCTTCTTTATTTTCAGTTACTCTATGCTCAAGTATAGCTATCGGCCTCATTTGTTTCTCCTTTATAGTTTTAACTCCTTTTGCTTGTGTGCTTTATTCACTCCTCTCACAATCCATGTGACTATCATACTGGGATGGATTGGGAATTTGATAAGGCTTCATACCCCTTGTAGCTACATTGCCCTTCATCCTTGCTTCCAGTAGAGTTGGAGTTTGTCGATTGGATTCTAACATTAACATTGAGAGGATTGAATCCATTACTGGTTGCAATATTGCTCTCTTCTTGGCTGCCCTTGGTTCAATCTTGTTACCAGAAATCCATGTCCCATGGACTAAAACAACAGCAAAACCACAGTCAGAAACTACTACAGTAATAAACAACAAACAACAAGGCTCAGGTAATAAACAACAACAGAAATGTGAATTAACTGGAAAATCCACCAACATATGCAGAGAAAATTAACTGACCACAGTCAGAAACTACTACAGTAATAAACAACAAACAACAAGGCTCAGGTAATAAACAACAACAGAAATGTGAATTAACTGGAAAATCCACCAACATATGCAGAGAAAATTAACTGACCACAGTCAGAAACTACTACAGTAATAAACAACAAACAACAAGGCTCAGGTAATAAACAACAACAGAAATGTGAATTAACTGGAAAATCCACCAACATATGCAGAGAAAATTAACTGACTAGATAAATCAAAATCAAATGAAGGTGTTTACCCGAAAAACGGATAGAGTTGAATTTGTACTTAGTTCTAAGGATATGTGGTATAGCTTAATACAAATCGTAAGGATAAATAGAAATATCAAATATAGATTGCAAAGAATGCAAAATAAACAAGGTTGGAAAGAAAATGATTTTTAGGATTAAGTAAAATGAATCAATTAATGAAGCCTAAAAGAATAATCCTTGAATATAGGAGAATATGGTGCTTGAATTACAATGTAAGCAAAAAACTGCCCTCTACAGAAATGTAGTCATCCTCTTTATAGTGGAGGATCCTACTTTAGATATAATTAAAAATACATAGTGGAGAACCCATGATAAATCAGCTTTTCCTTAATTTCCGCCGAGATTCTCTCCCTTAGTGTGTTTGCAACGGCTCTTGTCTGTGAGCTCGAGCTCGATCGGCCTCGATGCAGGTTGGTATTGCTTCTAGAGCTCGATGTGGACTCGGGATCAGGTGATGATTCGGGCTCGGTATCGGTTGGCCTCTGCCCCTTAAGCTCAAAATCATCTCATCATAGTTCGATTCGAACCCGAGCTCGATAATGACTTCGAACTCAGTGTTTGACTTATACTTGAAATCTGAACCTCGTTCATACCATCTTCGTAACTCATCTCGATATTACGAAGTCTTTCTTCGATCCATTATGTTTTAACCTCGATCAATCGTACGAAGGTCGAAGTCTATTTCGACTGTATACAGATAGTCCCCTCGTTTCTCGGGAAGGATGTGGTGAGAAACGATATGATTTCTCAATGGCTCGATTGGATTATAAGCTGACGTTCACATCGGGTTCGATCATGACGCACGTGATAGCTGTCCCGTCGATTTAGTTATTCAAGGCATTTAATGCATGTCAGACGGTGGTCGGCCACCGCTGATATTGAACCGCCATTGCTTTAATCTATAAATAGCCCTTCCTTTTACCATTTACCACTTTTACATCTTCAATCTTCCAAATTTCCCAAGTTCTTTTTCATACCCTTTGAGTTTATTCGCAAATCTGTGATTCTTCTTTGCAAAAGTCCTTCAAAACTACCAAATCTTTGTCACTTTCTTCTATTCTTGACCTTTAAATTTGAAAATGACGAAAACATCACAAACCATTCCTCAGAAAGAGAAAGCTTCATCTTCACAGTCTGCCGCCGACGAAACACCGGTAGAGCCACGGCCCGAGGAGTGCGTTCCTGGGGCGTGTGTTCTTACCTCTGATTTTAAGGTCGATAAAGGCTCATCGGTTCCCGGCCGATGTGAGCTAGTATCGAGGTACATGTGTTCGATAACCGAGAGGCACCTCAAACAACTAAAGAAAGATTGCAATTGGGAAGACAAAGAAATAATAATCCCTTCTTCTGACGAAGATATCACCACTTACGTGAAAGGGTTTTTAAGTGTGTATACTTACCCTTTCACGTTAGGTCCCCTTGATTCTGTTATTATTGACTTCTGTCGTCAATACCAAATAACCCTAGGCCAGGTCCATCCTTCTTTTTGGCGGATCGTTATTTTGATCCGATACTTTGTGAACAAAATCGAGGGGGTGTCGTTCACCCTTGACCATCTCATCCGATTGTACCGTCCCCGCCTTTTTCGAGGAGGGTTAATAAAACTTCAGCGTCAGGCTACCAAAGCTCTGTTTTCGAGCCACGAGGACAGGGATCGAGGCTGGATGGGCAGGTTCGTTCGGGTAAGGACTTCGGATCTGATTCCGACTGAAAAGATACCTTTTCCCAAGGAGTGGAATATGAAGCGTAAGTGTAATTCTATTGTTACTTCCTTCTATTTTGCCCTTTCATTTCTTTTCTCACCGATATTTCCCTTTTTGTGATGCAGCGGTTCCCTGGATGCCCGGCGCAATTTTCGATCTCAAGAACTGGGTACGTGCTCTGGCTTCGACCTCCACATACGTCGAGCGCTCATGGCGTGATTTGTCAAAGGGCCGATGGGAGGCCAAAAATCATGGTAAGCTCCTTTCTCGTATTTTTTGGTAGTTCGAACAAGATGCTTTCCGTACACTTTGATAAAATTTCCCGTATGTAGGTGTGGGCAAAGATGCGGTTTTGAGGCCCTCGTCCGTCGAGGAAGAGGCTTCGGCCTCTGTCCCAAAGCCGATGAAAGATAATAAGAGGAAAAGGCCCTCCGTTTCCGAAGATCCAAAACCGAAGAAGAGGACGGCTCGTAAGCCGAACAAGAATACCATTCCTTTGACCGTAGAATCAGTTCTGCGCCTAAGGGATGAAGACGAAGAAGAAGAAAATGATGGCCGCGCTGGCGGCCCGAACGAAGAAGACCACCGACGTTTCCACAGGCAACTGGATCGATGGTGGTTCATAAGGCTCCGCCTCGAACTGAGGATATATCGGAGAAAGATTCGGGCAGAGTCCCTGAGTTGTTAGAGATCGAAGATGCTTCCCATCGAAGCCAACGGATGGGGGATATGTCTGAAGGGGCTCTCCTCGAATATCTTCGAACCGAAGAGGATGCTCCAAGTGATTCTTTTGGGGCACTAGCAATCGAAGACTCGCCCACCTTTCCTGCTTTTTCCGCAGGGGCGATTCGGGAAGCCCAAGCTTTGGGGGCCCTCCAACTAGACAGGCCTCATGATGGAGAGGATCCTTTTCGTGACATGTTTACCGGTGTCGAGGACGTTGCCGGTACTAGTGATGCATCGGATCTTTTTCACGGGGTGCAGCAGGATTTGAATTAGGTAAGCATTAAATTATTTTGTTGGTATTACCTTTATGTTTGCTTTTCTTTTCTAACTTCTTTTCTTCTTTCTTTGCAGGCCGCGGCAGTTCATCGAGAAGCATGTTCTCGATCCCGAACCAAGCTGCGTCGATACGAGGCCGCCCTTCAACGGGTTACGGAGGAGAGAAACTCCCTAAAACTCCTCTTAGGGCAAAGGGGAGAGGAAATAAAAAACCTCCGAGCTGAGTTGGCCAAGGCTCACCAAGATTAGACCGATCTATCCAAGCAGGTAATAATACTTTTAAAAGCCTATGGGCTCGATACCGGAACGATGGCTAATTTTTCGGTCTCACAGCTGCAGCAGAAAATTGAGATGATCGAAAAACTTCGTGAAGAGGTCGATGTTATAAAAGCAGAGTCTTTGAAGTGGAAATAAGGTATGGACCGCTTTGCTGCAGAGAAAGAAGCTGCTCGAGCCCAATTATCATCGGCCGAAAACCAACTCCAAAGAATGAAGGAGAAAGGCTCGGTTCAAGCAAGAAGAATAGAGGAGCTTGAGGCTCGATTGGCCTCTGAACTTGCTAAGGCCGAATATGACGCCGAAAAGGCAAAGGTCGATGCGGATGCGCTCGTGGCCGTCTATCAGGCCGATGCTGAAGCTGCCCAGGTCCAAGCAAGAGAGGCAGCCGAAACTGCTGATACTCGAGCACATTGGGTCGCTGAACTTGCTAAGTGCCGATCTCGGAGGAAGACCCTCGAGAAGATCCATGCTCGAGGTTTCGATCTCGCTGAAAAGATAAAAAGGGCTAAAGAACTCGAAGCCGATGCTGAAGCCTTGGCTTTCGATGATGAAGCCTTGGCTTCGGATGATGATGATGATGATAATGATGATGATGGGAATAAGAGCGTGTCCGAGAACGGGGGGGAGCCCGGTGGAGAAGAGACCGCTCCCGGAGATAACCAAGAAACTTAGCCCTTAGTTTCTACGTTGCAATCAATCATGTAAACAATTTTGTATATATATAAATATCTTTTTCTTTTACCGACTTGCTTCTGTTTTGTTTCCTGCCTTGTGAAGATTTTATTCATGCCTTATGAATATTTTCATAAGGATTTAGGCAATTTGATCGAATTTGGACTTCGTAGCCTTTATAACCGAGTGAGCGCTTACTCAAACTTGAAATAAGGTAGCTCACACGCTTAGTAGTCGAGTTGAGTGATTGCTCAAACTTGAGATGATGTAGCCCTTAGGCTTATTAGTTGAGTGAATGATTCGAACTCGAAGTAATGTAGCCCATAGGCGTAATAGTCGAGTGACTGTTTCGAACTCGAAGTAATATAGCCCGTAGGCTTAGTAGTCGATTGAACGATTCGAACTCGAAGTATTGTAGCCCGTAAGCATAATGGTCGAGTGAGTGTTTGCTCGAACTCGGAATAAGAGTAGCCCGTAGGCTTATTAGTCGAGTGAATGTTTCGAACTCGAAGTAATGTAGTCCATAGGCATAACAGTCGAGTGAGTGCTTGCTCGAACTCGGAATAAGAGTAGCCCGTAGGCTTATTAGTCGAGTAAATATTTCGAACTCAAAGTAATGTAGCCCATAGGCGTAATAGTCGAGTGAGTGCTTACTAGAACTCGGAATAAGAGTAGCCCGTAGGCTTATTAATCGAGTGAATGTTTCGAACTCGAAGTAATATAGCCCGTAGGCATAATGGTCGAGTGAGTGCTTGCTTGAACTCGGAATAAGAGTAGCCCGTGAGCTTATTAGTCGAGTGAATGTTTCAAACTCGAAGTAATATAGCCCGTATGCGTAATGGTCGAGTGAGTGCTTGCCCGAACTCGAAATAAAAGTAGCCCGTAGGCTTAGTAGTCGAGTGAATGATTCGAACTCGAAGTAATGTA